GTCACAGACCCACTGAGGAGTCACTAGATAAATCTGAGGGGTCATAGTGTATTTTCTCTTTTATTCTCATTTTTTCACCTTTTTTTTATATTATATATATATAAATATTTGGTACTTCTGAAATCCTTCAAATGAAAACAATCTAAAACAATGTTAGAAGTAAAATCCCTGTTGCGGTTGTACGAACGCCACACTAACCCATTCATGGTCTTCATTCCTACTTTACTCTTTGACATAACGACAAAAACACAAAGAATCACATTGGGTTTTGTTTACATTTAGGAGTGTGACACACTCCTCCATAACGTGCTCAATGAACACACACAATGTGGAGGCTTCACTGGTGAGACTCCTAAACACACACATCCTGTTTATTAAGCACCTTAAGTTATATTTAACACCCGGAAATGCAACTGTTTAAAACATTCAACATTTAAAAGCACGCAAGTATGCTAGCACGATCATTGTGATTACATTTATCACAGTAGATTCATCATTATTCATAACCCCCCCCCCCATCTCTTCTTTCATTCTTTCACAGTCAATTTATAAATAAAATAATAAGCTGATAATATACAGAATATAGGAGTCAGTGTAGGCCGGTGCCCAAGTGGAGCGTGGCCTACACATCATTTACCCAGAGGCCATTAAGAAGCTATAATGCTGTTATAGCCCACAATGAACAACACACATCTGGACGAGCCTTTAACCACGCTGTGTGTTAGGAAGGCAGATTTCAGGTTTATCATTATTACATGCTATTTACCCTCATTTAGATAATAGAAATAACTAATCAATCCTTTAAAGCTGGTGGTTGTGCTATAAGGCCCTCAGTGATGTGCTTTTCACAGCAGCCTTTCTGCACATGGGCCTGGATTCTTTTTGTTTCCCCTCAATCGACACCTCACGTGAGTGGAAGCAGCAGGATGAGGATGACAATGCGCACCTCAACACGAAACATGCAACACAACGCCAGTTCATCCATTGTTGTAGCTACTGCGGCAACGTGGTCCAGGCTGTCCTTCAGCCCCCCCCCATAAATAACAATAATAATAAAAACACATTAATACAGGGAAACACTCACCTTTCTGTGTGGGAATTAGAGCGACCGAGGGGACAACTTCCAGCTTTCAGGAGAGAAAAAAGGGAGGATTAGTGGTTGCCACTCCCTGGGATGCAAATATGGATGCTGAGCAGAAAAAGCTGAAGGGAGAGTCAGCGTGGATCAGCTGGATGATGGGCAGCAAACCGGACCGGTGCACCGGGCGATGGCTTAGTAGCAGTTCAGCTGCCGGTTCGTTTCCTTCTTTTTCTCCAGGAGGAGAGCTAAAAGCAGCGGCTGTATCGCTGGTTTTGTAGCCGAACACTTGCACACGAGTCCCCGACGGAAACGCAGCATCAGCAACACACACACACACACACACACACACACACAACAATAACTTTTCTGTCGCCTGGTTCTGATTAAACTCAGTCTGGACTCCTTGATACCCTGTGTTTTCCCGGTTTCTTCTCGCTTGTCGGTGTTTGAATGCGTTGGGTTAGCTCAGCCTCCCTCTGTGACTCAACCCACCGGCTAGACTGAACAAAGGGGGCTGGGATTGAAGCACAGCCTCCTGGGGGAAGAGAGGAGAGAGGAGACTACAGTCTGCCGCTCCTCCGTGACGTACTCCGTTTAAAACGAGGTGGATTTAAACCGGCCCGTGCTTACCGGTCAAAATACGAGACTCCCACCGGCATGACTCAGTGCCTTCCAATCATTCTTCCTATTTGCTTATTCGGCATCAATAAAAGCGACAAATAAACCGTCTTTTGCAACAACAAGCCACATGTATGAAGGCTTCCTGTGTTCGTCACGCCTTCGACGGTGCATCTCCACATGAAAGCATCCGCCGTGCCAATCACACAAATGGAGTGTTATTTAAAACACTGCGTGTCCGCCGAACTGAAAAGGGGTTACCTATGTTTCATAATGATATCTCAATTCCCCAAAATGCCCTCTCACGCACTCGCTAATACGTGAGTAAGCATTACACCGCTGTCAGTGTGATCGCAGTTTGGTGTGGGATTGTATCTGAGACTGAACACAGGTATACCGGCATATCTCATATACCTAAAACATACGTATGCATGGAAGAACAATAGGGATCATATATGAGTTTAATGAGCACGGTGAGCACGTGGACTCATTTTAAAAACGCGTGGGCGATTCATGCTCATATTCTTCTGGTTCTGAGGGTGGGGTCAAACCCGTTCACATGAATCACTTCTCGCCCTTTTTCCGGTTCGCTTTTAAAACGTCCGGATTGGTCAGTGGAGGAGAAAAGGTCCCCACTGGGAAGCCCTGTGATTGGTCAGCTCGTCCGCTGGTGGGCGTGTCCCCGTTTGACAGCTGTAGCGCGAAGTGATCACTGGCAACAAAGTAACAACACCTCCTTTATTCTTCACCTGAACACTGCATTTTCATTTCTGGCGTTCTTGTTATTCATAAATGTTAAAGTTAAAGGGATAACTCCAGATTTATTTTTTTTAGGGAAATAATAAAAAAATAAGATTGCAACACACTCGATTCTCTGTCAGCAGCCGGTTAGCTTAGCTTAGCATAAATACTTGAAACATGATGAAAGCTCTCTCCAAAAGTGACAAAATCACCTTTAAAGCTCATTAAACACGATTTTATTAATGTTGTTAGTTTAAGCCGCACAAAGATCAAAGTGTATAAACGGCACACAAGCTGCAAAATAAAAAAATAAACAATAATTATAATAGATAATAATAATAAAAGTAAAATAAATTATATATCATTCTGGGATGTTTGCTGAAATTGATTGGATGTGGCACAGCCCTACCTAGAACATGTTCCACCAGCCAACACTGTCATCTATAGAAGACAATAAAGAAAGAATGGAATCAGTTTTTAATGGTTGACATGCTGCAGTTCTGTCTGCTGGCCACTAGAGGTCCCTACAGTCCTATAAATGAGTCAACTGTGTTCTTTATGTGAGACTTGAGACACACAGGTCTGAAGAGCACATGATTTCTGTGTAATGATGTGAGGTTTTTTCTGACAGTAGTTAGATGAATGGTTGTAGTTTGGAGTTTGCAGCGCACACCTGAAGCTAAAGTGGATAATAACAACACGTGAGCAGAGTTAAGGAATGAATCCATTTACAATAAAATCTTAGAAAGCCTGACACTACCACACAACACAGCACAATTAAATGCTACATTGTTTAAGTCCACAGTATTTGTAATATGTTTTGAAACAGACTCTCTCTGATATTTTTATGTCTATTCATTTCTATTTCACTGGGCTTTGTTTCTAATTGATGAATGTTGTTTTACTGAATGATATAAAACACAATAAATGTCTCTAATTGTGTTTTTTGTCCTTCCACTGACTTTACAAATACAATTTCCCCCCAAAAATGTCACTGAAAATAGACTAAATAAGGAAATGTGAAAACGGTAGATTCTTACGCTGTTCTTTATCCACCAGATAACATCACATCAACGTTAAACTCAAGACATTTAACTCAATAAAGTGCATCAATCTGCCACCCAGCAGCTGCTTCACATCATCACATTCAAGTGAAACTGTACAAAAACATCAAACTGGCTCATTGTCGCCATCTAGTGGCATGAGCCGCAAACTACATCCTCCAACAAAGACGATCAAACTCTTTATTCTCATCTCACATGTTTTTACTTCATTAATTCCTGTTTTTCCCCTCTTAAACATATTTAATCTTTTTTATATATAGGAAAAATACATCCTCTTATAAATCCTCTATTATGAGGTGAGAACTTTAAGAAGTCAGGTGACCACAAATAGAATAGAAATAAAAGTAAGGTAAATAAATATAGTAAGAATTCATTAAAAACAGCAAAAGTAAACTACAACAGCAATTGAAAACAAGAGTAAAAATGTATAAGAAGTAATACTAACACCAGTAACTAGTAATATTGTGCATGCTATTGAAAAGTAATAAAGTTACATTGCACATAATATTTTGAAAGTAATATTGCACATGATATTGAAAATCACTGTCCAAGTGGATTGTGAAGGAAATAATACTTTCTGTTTGATTCTTTAGGAAGGTACAGGACCGAAGGGACAGCAAGAGTTTGCAACCAAGGTTGTAGAAGAACTTGACGAGTTGGAAATAATAAGCAGCATGTTGTCACTTCCGTTCACTGGTTGCAAAAATCCAAGATGGCGACAGTCGTAATCCAAGATGGCGACGGCCAAATTACCGAACTCGAGGCTTCAAAAAGGCAGTCGACAAACCAATGAGTGACGTCACTATGATGATCAAGTCCAACTCCTTCGGGAAGACCTGACATGCTCACTGCAGGTCAGACCTGATCCCCCAAAACATCAGTGCACGACTTCACTGACGCGTTTGTGGCTGAACGGGAGCAAACAGGTCCTAGACTCTACCAGAGACGTATACGCCGTCTCTCCTCCTCAGTCCAGATATGGTCACTTCCTGTTCACTTGGTTGCAAAAATCCAAGATGGTGACGGCCAAATCGCCGAACTGGAGGCTTCGAGCCGGCCGTTCACGAACCAATGAGAGACGTCACCACGACTTCGTCCACTTCTTATGTACAGTCTGTGTTCCAGATCAGCTTCTCCCAAAACTAAATTGTATTAGCAGGATTTAAACCACTAGAGGGCGGAGACTATGCATATCTATGACACAATATAAATACTTTGCACTTAAATGTCAAGATTAAGACTGAATCCATCAACAACAATACTTAATATATTGGTGTTCAGCTGAAAGAAGTTATCTGGGGTTTCTTAAATCATTATTACGTCTCATTATATTCACAGTAGGCCTAACAAAGGCTCACAGGCCGACCTGAGCCGCCTCATTAGCATGCAGCGTGTCCAGATAAGAATGCCCCTCTGTGATTTATAATAATGGCTCAGTGTTTCTGAGAGCGTAAGTGTGTTGGTGGACGTTGCCCTCTCTCGTTCTGCTTCGTAGGGGAAGTGACTGGATTACACGCGGCTAATCCCATTATGATGCGATGGGGGCCTCCGGTCTGGAGGGATTAGAAACCAAAAAAATGCTGGAGCTCCAGGACGGGACCAGCAGCAGACTGGGTGACTGTACCGACTGACACTGATACTGACACTGATGGCATGTGTAAACGGTTTGGAGGACAGCGCCACCGGCCGACAAGGGAGGGCAGACCTGGAGGTGCACTGAGATGGTACGTAGTGTTGTCTTTGGTTTTGTAGCTCTCAGCATCAGCAGTCTTCAAACGGACAAGCCGGCGAACTGTTGATGGATGGTGACGTACGGCAGGCGGCCAAGTTTGGTGTCAGCTTTAATGAGCCGTAAATTCACAATATGTTATGACAGTTATTTTTAGTATGGAGTCTGAAATGTGCCTTCAAAAATAAGCCCAGACATTTATGGTGTTTAGATTTAATTAACTAAATAAAAAGAGAAATAAAGAAACCTGGAATAAATTGATGAAATGAGTTTGCATATACATGATGCATCAATACATTCAAAGTAATTAAAGTAGTTAAACCTGCACCTTTGAGTTCCTAAGTTTGTTGTCAAAGGATGAATTAATAATTAAATCTTTAAAAAATAATATATATATATATATATATATATATATAGCTTCACTCTTAAATTTCAAACAGAAGAACAATAAGTGCACTACCAGTGAAAATGAACTGAATTAGTGAACAAAGTCATGAATTAAATCTGTGTACAATAATAATATTAATAATAATGATGATGATAACAATAATAATACAATGATAATAAAACTGTATCTATATATAGTACCTTTCATGCAAGAAATAACTTCAGTTGAGGTCATTTGAGATTTATTAAACGTAAACTCAATTAATATTCAATTAATATTCAATTAATATTCAGCACCTAGGAGACGAATAGGAGAGGAGGGAGCAATAAAGGAAGGAGGAAGCAAGGAAGGGAACAGACCAACGTCTCTATTGAGAAAGCCCAAATAAAAAAAGATGTAAAATAAAACAGAAAATAGACTAAATTAAAATAAAAACATAATCATCATTCCTCATTTTCTTGCTTCAGGCAGGTTTATTCTTTTTCTAACTTTAATTAAAAATACACAAAAAAAATGCTCCCAAGCAATTTTTGAGATTTCTGCAGACTGAACGGAGACTCTTTCCACCGAAACATGAAAGGATCTTTTTCTTTTTAGCTCTTTTCATCAAAGGAATATGACATAAACATATTTTTCACTCAACTATACAGAGAAGTAATACCCTGAAATATTAGGATTCTGCTCAACGTTGCGCCACCTGTTTCTAGAGGAATGACAGATGAGAGAATGATTAACGTGGCTGGTAATGATATGTGTGTGTGTGTGTGTGTGTGTGTGTGTGTGTGTACGTGACAGGAGGTGAAGGTCTGGATGAGGGACAGAGATCACACACTTTAACACAGACAGCAGAGCATCTGACACAGACAGAGACACAATGTGCCGGAGCAGAGTCCATCGTCCTGTATTGTTGTTTCTTTAAGTGGAAAGTCTTTTTTTGCAACAGGAAGGTTGTCAAACTCAAAGGATTGTAAGTCTTCTTCTTCGTCTTCTGCTTCAAAACATAACCCCGGTCCAGCAGACCAGCAGAGTAAAAGTGCTCATTAGAAGTAGAGCAGCGGCACAACAGCCTGCGACTATGTCCAGGTCTGAGGGAGCAGTCAGAGAGAAGCAGGTTCCTCAGAGATACCGGCGGTGAATTTCAATCTGTACCGTGTCCTTCATCCTCATCCTCCTCATCCTCCGTTACCAGCTGCAACTTCAGCTCCTGCGACAAAAGGAACAGAATCAAATCCTCAACTGGTCCGGCGTCTCTTCCTCAATCTGCGGCAGTCTCAGGTAATGCATGGAAGTGGGCTGCGTGTGTGTGTGTGTGTGTGTGTGTGTGTGTGTGTGGAACATTATGTGACAGGTGACAAGATTTTCTCAGCATACAAGCTTTAACTCTGATACTGCAGGTGATGGAGTGAAATAATGAACTGATAGATATCACCATGACACTTTTTCTGAAATGTTATGTTTGAATATGCAAATGAGGCAATATCCTGAACAAAAATTGTTGTTTCATGTTGTTGACATGTTAGAGTGAAAGAGCGGACTCTGGATGTCTCTTTGTATCCCTCCACGAATCAGAAAATACTGCCAACGGCTGAAAATAAATCACTTTACTTCATGTTGTTATTAATAAATGTACAAACGAGTGTGTGAGTGATGAGTGAACTAACCCCTCTGTGTGAACCTTCAGCACACAGAGAGGAATGAACGAGTGAAGTTTGGTGAATGTAAGAGCTGCTGAAGTGGAGATTTATCATCAGAGTCTGAGAACAAACTCATTGAGAGGAAACGTCCTTTAAAGAGACGTTTAGTTCCATTACAGACATTTAGAGACTCTACAGGTGAACACATGAACTCATGATATCACCATGAAACTTCACCACTTCATCACTCACATTAAGAAGACTCTACAGGTGAATACATGAACTCATAGATATCACCATCAAACTTCACCACTTCATCACTCACATTAACAGACTCTACAGGTGAATAGAGTCACAACATGAACTCACAGACATCACCATGAAACTTCACCACTTCATCACTCACATTAAGAAGACTCTACAGGTGAATAGAGTCACAACATGAACTCATAGATATCACCATGAAACTTCACCACTTCATCACTCACATTAAGAGCAGTATTTATTGTATTACAAGTTTTATGAAATGTTATGTTTAATGCAAATGAGGCGTCATGTAATGGTAACTTTTGTTGGATTTAGTAGAAATCTACAGAAGTTAACAAACAAAGTAGTGAAATAAATCGTTCCACTCGTCTGAAAGAAGACGTGTTGTTGAAGCTAAATCTCCAGGTAAGTTTAAATCAACATGACGAGCAGAGTTTCAAAAGAGAATCATCGGCTGAAGCTAAACTGGTATAAACTGTATAATTTGGGTATTAATCTGGAAAATATTACAACAAACACAAACGACACCGAATAAGAACAAACCTATGAGTTTAGACGTGTTGTAGTCGCATCACAGTTTGATTTATCTCAACGTGAACACGCTCAGTAGACGTCTGGACTTTGCCACGTAGATCAACACAGTTTTCCAGACACAGGTGAAGCCGCCTGAACGCCACACATCACAGACTGTAATCATGAGCAGACGAGTAAAGACCTCACACGTCAGCCTCAGAGGTGTAAATAATCATTTTGTGATGAGAGATAGCAATGATTTCTGACCGCTGCAATATCTCCGTCTTAGTGAAAACAATTACAAAAGCATCAACAGACCAGCGGTGAAACAGCTGGTAGACACATTATTCTGCAGTTACACTTAAATAAATGTTCATATCAACACTAACACATCTAATCATCTTATTAAACATATTATACTGTTTGTATGTGATTACATGTGTTAACAAACGTACCAAAAGCATGTTTGTTAACACGATCAAGATAACTAACATATATTATATTTATCTGATGAGCTACAAATGTTCATAAAATAAAGTATGGAGGACGATCACATATTATCAAAACAAAAATAATCCAAGATCTCATGAATAAAATGGTAAAAAACATATTGAGAATTAAAAAAACGGAAAATGTTTGTTAGCCAGCGAACTAGCTTTTATCTCATAAACACATATCTGACGTTAAATGTCTACTTGAAGTTAGTGTTTTAGGCTGCTTGTCATTTATCGCAGCAAAAATAAATTAGCCTGCTCGACAAGTTAGCGAGCTAACAAAACACAAAACTGTTGTTTATTCAGGTTAGCTCACACCAAGCTACGGCTAATGACCGTCTTCTAAGAAGCTTACATTCAGAGAGAAATTAAAATGTCTCGACTTGAGTCAGAACAGGAGAAAACACCGTAATATTTATACAGTCAGTGACATTGATTTGTGGGGGCGGGGCTTCTCCATCACAGTTGCCGCCATGGCGTCCGTGGCTCTGGAGCTGATGGGCTTCTTCCTGGGCCTGCTGGGAATGCTGGGCACGATGGTGGCCACCGTGCTCCCGTACTGGCAGATCTCCGCCCACATCGGCTCCAACATCGTCACGGCGGTGGCCAACATGAGGGGCCTGTGGATGGAGTGCGTCTACCAGAGCACGGGGGCCTTCCAGTGCGAGACCTACAACTCCATGCTGGCCTTGTCCTCCGACCTGCAGGCCTCTCGGGCCCTCATGGTCATCTCCCTCGTGCTGTCTATAGTCGCCATCGCCATGGCGGCCCTCGGGATGCAGTGCACGATCTGCTTGGAGGGCGGCGGCACGGTAAAGAGCCGCGTGGCCGGCGCCAGCGGGGTGTTGTTCCTCACCGCGGGCTTCTTGTCGCTCATCCCGGTGTCGTGGACCACGCACGAGGTGGTCGACACCTTCTACCGACCCAACGTGCCTTCCAGCATGAAGTTTGAGCTCGGCGAGTGTCTGTACGTGGGTCTGGCCTCCGCGCTCATCTCCATGCTGGGCGGGGGGATGCTGTGCGTGTCGTGCTGCGAGGCGCACGACGGCGGCGGCCGTGGCAGACGGCACGCCGGAGGATACCCGTACCCGGTGGGAGTAGTCGGCGCACCGGGCGCAGGTGCACGGACGACCTCGCAGACCTACCGCAACCCCATCCTGCAGGTAGGGAGCGCCAACGCGGCCAGCAGGGGGCAGACGCTGGTCCACAGTACCAGTCACAGCTCCCAGTCCTCAGCACACGGAGTCCAGGGGGGCGCCAAGAAGCCCGCCGCGGCAGGATATGACATCACAGGATACGTCTGAGGTTACCGTCACTCCATCAGACCTTGAAACGCCTGATGACTTACATGTATTTATGTATTCAATCAAACGGGACAAATTAAATATGTACAAGTGAGTCGACTTATCACTGTGTCCTTTTTAACCCTTGAGCCTCACTAGGAAACAGTTATATCTTTTTGTTTTTATTTTGTTTTGATCATTTTAAATGCATATGGTAGTTTTTTATGTGTCAAAATACAGACAATGTCCTCATTGAAAATCTAAAGGTTTAGTTTTGACTATTTTCCACCTGATTTAACTTGGTTTGCCCAACGGTTCCTGGTTTCCTGCACAAAAAGTTAATTTAAAGAAAATGCATCAAAATCAATGTTGTTGCTAATCATTGACACATTGTGAATAATAAAAAATCATCACGTTTTGTGTCTTTTTTATACAAACAACAGTGGAATTATGTAAACAGAGTGTCACCTAAAGGGTTACACTTCTGAAAATGTAAGAATATTTGGCAGTTATGTTCACGACTGTTGTTGATTGAAAGATTTAACTCAGTGGAAGTGGAAAGTAATATTAAAATATGAAACCTTTGTGAGGCACAATGGTGAAGCTTCTTCTAAAGTTTTGTTGAATTCAGTGAAATTGTGGCGATTTCTTCTTGACTCGGACCTGTCTGTCTTGACTTGGGACTTGACCCGGACCTGTCTGTCTTGACTTGAGACTTGACCCGGACCTGTCTGTCTTGACTTGAGATTTGACCCGGACCTGT